AAGAAACTGACATATACTCCCTCCATGCCAAAATGATTTACACTTTTACTATTACGGTAATGCCGGTAACTTTTATTTGTTTGCATATTTTCACCGATCATTTGATAGAATAAAATATTTTTTGTCTATCTCGTGTTTTGTACTGTAGAACCTTTGATGTCAATTTTGAATATGTAAGTTTTATTTTATTTGTATGTTTTACAAATAAAACCATTTTAAAATTCTTTGATGTCAACTTTGATTGAAGGTATGATTTGTTGTTGTTGTTGTTGTTGCTACTATCATTATTCTTATTATTATTTTTGGGCAAAGGCATTGTTGGAGGGGGAGAGGGGGAGGGGGTAAGAGAGCTGGATCGGTTATAAATTGTAGGTATATATACCATTGTTGCTGTAGGGATGTGGAGCTAGATTGAGGAGCTGAACAATGGTGATTGTGTTGATCTAACTGTTTTTTTTTCTTTTGCACACGCGACATATCATTGAAAACGGCAATCAACATTCCAGCTGGAATAGTAAGTGTCATTACCTACCTACAAGACCATGGATCGCTGGTGCACTATGACATTTGCCCAACCAATATAGTCGTGCAAGAGGTCATCATTCCCGACTATCCCATTGTCGTCAGAAGAAAAAAAAAGAAAAAAGAAAAAAGAAAAAGAACACACGTTTCTTCAAATAATGATCACATGTTCCTACTGATTGTTCATCAACAGGGACGCACTCCAAAGCTTATTGACTTTGGACTCTGCGTAACCACAGGACAGAAGAAGATTGGTGGGCATCTAAGTTACATGATGAGAGAAGAGGACGACCTTGCATCTTGTGGCTCGGATGTGTTTTTGTTTGGGATGGTTGCCACCCAGTTGATGGATCTGAATATGTGATTATTTGTTTATATGTAAATGATATGTTGATCTTTAGTACACACATTAATGCTATAAATAAAACAAAATATTTTTTAGCTTCACAATTTGATATGAAAGATCTTGGTGAAGCTGATGCAATTTTAGGTGTTAAAGTCACCAAAAAAGGGACGGTTTCATTTTATCTCAGTCACACTATGTAGAGAACGTTTGGAAAAAAATTAACAACTTTGATGTAGTACCAGTTAGAACTCCATATGATTCTGGCATATCTTTAGAGAAGAATCTTGGGATTTCTATTTCTCAAGGAGAATATGCAAAAATTATAGGAGTTGAATGTTCTTAATGAATTATACTCGGCCTTACATTGCATATGCCGTAAGTAGACTTAGTCGGTACACCCATAATCCAAGTCAAGAGCATTGGGATGCTCTCAAACAACTTATGAGGTATCTTAGAGGTACCATGGACTAGGGTTTACACTATGTGGCCTTTCTTTCTGTATTAGAAGGGTACTGTGATGCCAATTGGGTAAACGATAACGACAAAGTGAATTCTACCCAGTGGTAATACATCACGTTGGGGAGACTAGTGGACTAGTCGACAAATCACAATTAGTATTGAAACTTTTAACATTATCTATATCTTCATTCACTACAAATAACTATATATATTTATATGAAAAAAAATCATTACCAAAGCAAAATTATGTTTAAAAATAACACATAAAGTCACATACCAAAGAGTACTTAGAACAAATATCCAACAAGGATAATAAGCACAAAAAGTAGTCAAAGAACATATTAATATCTAACTTCTCGTTTTGAGTTATCAAATATCATCATCCAACGTTATGTCACAATTGATTTGTTTGTGGGATAATGTGCATTCCACAAGATTTTTGTTGTTCATATTTGGCCAAAACCTATATTTCCATATGGCATCATTAGAGCCGGTTCTTCGTTTGGGGTTCTTCGATGAATCCTCATAATCACGAACGTTATTATCTCCCATTAGTTCTGAAATAAGTAATTTTTTCTATAAGAGATAATACATATTAAATTAACTTCTTAAGTCAAAATACTAAAATAACAACACAAACAATTGTTGATTGAAATCATCAAAAAAAAAACTGAGTGAAAAAAACAAAAAAAAATGTTAATTGAAATCAGAAAAAAACAGAACTGAATAAATTTAAAAAATAAAGAATATAATATACTTGTTTAATAGTTTAATGAACCAAAGTAAAGAAAATTAACCTAAATTTGGAAATTAAGTGATAACGAATTATAAATATAAAATTTACCTAGGGAGAGATGCTACTTGGCTGACCTGAATCGTGCCATGAAGAGGAATACCGGGTTGGTCTCTTCTTCTCCATCCGATCAAGATGCGATGAAGAGGAAGATAAAAAATTTGAATCCAGATCTGCTTCAAATCTTCAATCGATGAGGAAGGATAGACCTCGGCCGTGCGAGAGAATCGTTATTGGATTACGGAATTTATCCGGTAATATTTAATACAGCTTATTTAATGAAATTCGGATCAGTCATGGGTCGGATTGGGATCGGGTTGGGCTCTTCTTCTCTGACTAGTCGCTACTAAACGACGACTAGGCCTCGCCTTTCTCGGCCGGACGATTAGGCCACCCCACTTTTCCCCTTCCCCAAACCACCTAGAGGACTAGTCCACGACTAGTCGACGCCTAGGCGACGACTTAACAACAATGAGGTCGTACACAAGATGAGATGTGTGTCATTAGGTCCCTTTTCTAGATAGCATGCAGGTTCAAGGGCTCTTCACCCATTGGACAGAAAATACCCAATGTCACTATGTGTTAGATCAAGGGTTATCCTCTAACACATAAATGTCTAATCTTACTACTGCTCAAAATTTTACCTTCTTTCTTTTTCATTTGTGGGGGATTGTTGGTAAAAATGCAAAAAGAGTTGTTTAGTCATTATTAATTTCATTGTGATATTGCCTCAGTTTTCAAAGTGGTCCACTAATTTCTAAAATTTGTGTCTAACTTGATCATGAGTAGCTCACCACTTGAGGCAGTTGTGGGTAACATAGGGATTTGACCATTTCTGCCGTAGAAGGTTTTGAACTGGAAATTTTCTTCCTTCTATTTCGATTTTATCACTTGCACAGATCCTGTTTTTTCACTGCGGACTTGTGGTTACGGTTGGTTCTGGAGATCTACTCCTTAGTATATATATGGCTCTTCTTCTTAACCTTTAATGAGATATACACAGATCACGAGATCCCAGAGAACTCTCCTCAGAATATGTTGCTTCTAATTTTGCTCTCTGCAAATTTTATTCTTTGATTTTGAGCAGTAGCCATGTTCTGTTCGAATCTATAGTTAGTGGGTGTATGTTACTATAGGCAGCTGTGTTAACTTTGGGGAGTGACACCGGTTGAATTGACTACACCGTCGCGGTGAAATCACTCTAAAGGCAATGGTTCTGTCTGTGTCTTGGTATTCTACAAATCCCTAATCTATTTGCTGTTGCCTGCATATTTCTGCTCTACAGGTAATATAATTCCTACACCTTGTTGAGCATGTATCAACAGCAAGAGAGAATGATCAGATACTCCTTCCTCCATACCTTTAGTGTTGTTATCCTTGTTAATCATCCAATCTATATTAACAAAAACCCCACTCAAGTTTTGAGATAATCCTCTTACATGGTCCTTGTTTGTTTGGCCAAGTATGATAATTTCCCTTAAAAGGGAGTTCTTCCAAACCACAATATAGTGTAAAAGCAGTGTCAACTGTAGATATAAAGCCAAAGTCATTGGCTTACATGTAATCAAAGAAGATAATGGGCAAATTGGTCAGCACCATATCCCCAGAGGCTGGAGCAGTGACCAAATAAACATAAATGAACCTGGTTGTGTATTTAAGCAATGCTGAACCAAATGAATCACCAAATGCTTGCAGACTAGATAAACGGAAATCTGGCACACGAATGTTGCATAAATAAATAGAACAAGTGCCTGTTAATAAACTGTAATAGCATCCATTGAATCCCTGAAAATATAAGAGTACCTTCCTTCACATTTCACATCAAACTGGATTCGGAGAGGCTCGGTGCAGAATATCGAGTGCACCTAGCGAGCTCCTACCATCCCATCACCAGAATATGACAGAGTTCTTCAAAAACTCCGGCACCCCATCGGCGACTGCCCTGTGTTCCTATTCAAAAGCAAATAAAGAAATGATTTTTATCATATAATTCTGAGGATAATCGCCGGAGGGGAATAACAACGCATGTCGGGGGCATACCAAGGTGTGAAAACAGGAGCCTGATAAGGGAACTTGTCGGCAAAGGAACGAGAAACCCTAGGCGGCAACGTTGGATTGTCCCTGGGAGTTCGTCCGTGGAGGAGAGAGAGATAAAACTAAACTAAACTAAACTTGTATTATTGCTTGATTGATAAAGTAAGGGGTCTTCTCTTTATATAGTGAGAGAGAAACCCTAATCCTAATCCTGTCGGTTCAAGAAAAGCGTCAAGGGAAAGAACCGAAAAGAAAACCCTTGAAGGGACTTATAATTTGTCCACCTAACAAAATCTAAGTTACAAATGTAAAAAGAACAAAATCAAATATTAGACGTAATCATCGTAACGTAGAGGACGTCGTTTATTCCGCTTCGGTCGTCCCGCTCCTTGGACGTCTTCTTGATCATCGTCATGCTCTGCATGGGCTTCTTGTGTAGGCCCAGTATCGTTGGGTTCGGTCTCCAATAACTCTTCGTGTGATGTTAGGCCCGTATCAACTCCCCCGGGATGGAAACGGCCTTGTCCTCAAGGTCGAGAGTTGGAAAATGTTGTCGGAGGTGTGCTATGGGCTCCCAAGTCGCCGTTGCGCCTTCATCGTCGGACCAACGAATGAGGCACTGCTCTTGTGGGCGGCCATTCACAAGCACCGTACGACGCTGCCTGGCCTCGTGTGATAGTCGCTGGTAGAGATGGGGTGGGTGGCGGCTGTTGGCCAGAGAAAAATGGCCGTAGTAAAGAGACGTGGAACACGTCATGAATGCGGCAGCCCTCCGGAAGTCGAAGTCGATAAGCCACCGGCCCAATGCGCTCGATCACCTCAAATGGTCCATAGTAGCGGCGAGCGAGCTTGGCCGATCGCGGACGGGCGAGGGAGTGCTGACGGAACTGCTGGAGTTTGAGGAGGACATGGTCACCCACCTTGAAAGTGACGTCGCGGCGGTGCAGGTTGGCATGCTCACGCATGCGTTGCTGCATTTTGGCGAGATTGCGCCGTATATCCTCCAAAACCGCTGCCCGCTCGCGTAATAGTTCTTCGACGGCTGGAGTGTGAGCACGAGTTGACAACGTCGGGAAAAGATGCGGAGGAGGCCGGCTGTATAATGCTTGGTATGGTGACATGTTAAGACCCGCATGGTGTCCACAATTAAGGGCCAATTCTGCCCATGGGAGGAGAGTAGCCCATCTATTCGGGCGTTCGAACGTAAAAGCACGGAGATACTGTTCGAGGCCGCGATTCATGACTTCTGTCTGACCATCGGTTTGAGGGTGGTAGGCGGTGCTAAACTTTAGCGCGGTGCCACTACATTTCATCAATTCGCGCCAAAAAGCACTCATAAATATGGCGTCTCGATCCGATACAATTGCCGTGGGGAACCCATGGTGCTTCACCACAATGTCAGTGAAAACGTGGGCGGCCTTCGGGGCGTCAAAACCAGTAGGAAGTAAACCAAAGTGAGCATATTTAGATAGGCGGTCCACCACGACCATGATGACTGTGAACCCGCGGGAGGATGGCAGCCCCGTGATGAAGTCCATAGACGCGCTGTCCCATACGCGGTCAGGGATAGGAAGCGGTTGTAAGAGTCCAGCAGGCTTTTGTGTCGAGTATTTAGTTGTTTGGCAGGGAACACAAGCTGCCACATACTGTCGAACGTCGCGACGCATGCCGCGCCAGTAAAAGACCTCCGCAAGGCGTTTGAAGGTTCTGTCGACGCCTTGGTGACCTGCCAGAGGGGTACTGTGAAACTCGTGGAGCAAGGTGTGACATAGGGGTGATTCGGGGCTGATGTATAGTCGATGTTTATAGTATAACAGCCCATTATGAATTGAGATGTGCGGAGGAGCTGCCCCAGCAGTTACGGCCGAGTGCAGGTCCGTGTAATCTGCGCACTCCTTATTTTCCCTGCGAAGATCATCTAGTAGCATTGGCAGGGGCTGTGCGTAGGCCAGGAAGAGCTTGGCAGATTCATCTGGAGCCACAGGATCGGGAGACTCGCGGCGGGAAAGGGCGTCGGCCACCCGGTTTGATGCACCTGATTTGTATTCAATTCGGAATTTAAACCCCATTAATTTCCGTATGTAAAGTTGCTGCTCCGGGGTTTGAATTACCTGGCCGAGAAGATCTTTCAAGCTCCGCTGATCACTTCGTAGCACAAATTCCCGTCCAAGGAGGTACTGGCGCCATTTTTGTACCGATTCCACGATGGCGTACAACTCCTTGTGGTATGTGGATGCCGCCCGGCGTCGCGGCCCAAGTTTCTTACGGAAGAATGCCAAGGGGTGACTGCGCTGTAGAAGAACTGCCCCAATACCCACATCCGAAGCATCAGTCTCCACGTAGAATGTTTGTCCAAAGTCTGGTAGCTGGAGAACAGGTGCCGTAACCATTGCTTGTTTTAAATGAGTGAAGCTAGCCTCCGCAGCCTCATTCCATCCAAAGTTTTCCTTTTTTAAGAGGTCGGTGAGGGGGGCGGCGAGCATGGCATACCCGGAGACGAACCGACGATAATATCCGGTGAGGCCTAGAAATCCACGGAGTTGTGTGACAGACCTGGGACGGGGCCAAGCGACCATCGCCGCAATCTTTGACAGGTCGGGTTGCAAACTGCCAGCCGTGACCACATGACCCAAGTATTCAATCGTGGTCTGGCAAAAGGAGCACTTGGAGAGTTTGACGAAGAAAACATTTGTCTGTAGTGTATGAAGGACCACTTGAAGATGTTCGGCATGCCTTTCAATCGTCGGGCTGTATATCAAGATGTCGTCGAAGAAGACGATGACGAAGTGTCGCAAATATTGTCGAAACAAATCATTCATAGCGGCCTGAAACGTGGAGGGAGCGTTTGTAAGCCCGAAGGGCATGACAAGGAACTCATAGCGTCCCTCATGCGTTCGGAAAGCCGTTTTAAGAATATCCTCGTCGTGCATCCGAATTTGATGATAGCCCGACCGTAAATCAAGTTTGGTGAAGAATCGTGCATGCCCTAATTTATCAAAAAGCTCATCTGTGGTGGGGATAGGAAAATGATCTGGAATGGTAACGGCATTGAGGGCGCGATAATCCACGCAAAAACGGTACGATCCATCCTTCTTTCGTACTAGCAACACGGGAGAGGAAAAAGGGCTACGACTGGGGCGAATTAAGCCTTGCTCTAACATGTCACGAACCTGCCGTTCGATCTCCGTTTTTTGAAAATAAGGATAACGGTAGGGGCGCACGTTGACGGGCGTAGCTGCAGCCTCCAAATGGATACAGTGATCCCATGTCCGTGCTGGCGGCAGCGCCTGTGGAAGCTGGAAAACAGCCCTGTGGTTGTCCAAAATAGTACGTACCGGAGCTGGTATGTCCGGCGAAAACACAAGTGCATCCGGTGTTGTGGACTGGGAAGGGCCATCCATGGGTATTAATTCGAAGAACTGCAGGGGCACATGTGCGGCTAGGGAGCATAAATGTCCGAAGGAGATAGGTTGAGGGGACGTCATGCCACCTCGTAGTGTAATTGCTGAGCCGTTCCAACAAAAATCCATAGTCATATTGGCGTAGTCGTGGCATACCTTGCCCAAATTCTAAAGCCATTGGACACCAAGGACCACGTCGGGTCCATGGATTTCGAGAAGATATAAGTCGACTTCAAAGAGTGTGCCCTGTAATAATAATGGCGTGCGCGGGCAGGAATAGGCGCAACGCAGTGAATCCCCGTTACCCACGTAGACACGAAACGGGGGAACCGGGTGAAGTACCAACGCCAAGCGTTCTGCCACGGAGGGATGGACAAAGTTGTGCGTGCTACCGGAGTCCAGCAGAACATTGACCTCGTGGGTATTGACCGACCCGACCAGCTTTAGAGCCCGGGGACTCGGGCTGCCGGCTAAGGAGTGCAAACTAGAGACGTCGGCCAAGATTACCCCCTCGTCAACCTCCGAGGAGCTGTCCGGCGTGATCTCATCAGAGGGATCATCATCATCCGGTCCCATATATGCGAGGAAGCGGCCCTTACAGTGGTGGCCCGGTACCCACTTTTCCTCACAATACCAACATAATCCCTTTTTACTACGTTCATTCTTTTGGGCCTGAGAAACTCGGACAACGGGTAAAGGTGGGGCTGTGGGAGGAGCAGAAACCTTACTGCCTGTGGTAGTTGGGACTGAACCAGTCGGCGCTGCACTAGAAGAACCAGGACCTGGCAGTCGAGAAGGCCAAGGACGACAGAATGCAGCCGAATCATTGTGAGTAGCAGACAGTTCCCGAGCCAACCCAAAAGCCTCTTGAAGAGTTCGGGGGTTACGAAGGTTAACCTCCCTCTGAACCGGTTGTCGCAGCCCGGAAACATACATGGCAATCAACGTTTGTTCCGGTACCCCTGAAATTTTGTTGAGAATAGTCTCGAAGGCGGTTTGGTAGGCCATGACCGAAGTGGTCTGGTGCAGTTTAGACAGCGAGCCAATGTAATTTTCGTAGTAGTCGGGGTCGAAGCGTTGGCGCACGGCAATCAGAAACGCCTCCCAACTCGTGCCACAGTTGTTGGTTTGGTAATAACGAAACCAATCGGATGCCGGGAAATCAATCAACATAGCGACCAATTGCAAACGTTCACCCTGGGGTGTAAGAAAATAATCAAAATAGTTTTGAATCCGGAAAATCCACCCTGCCGGGTCATCCCCGTTGAAGCGCGGTGCCTCCACGCGCATGCGCGGAATGGCCTCGTTATTGGTTCCACCATTAGGAGGACGGTTGGGTGGAGGTCGCCAGCCCATCCCAGGAGGACGGTTCCAGCGAGTCTCGCCATGGGGGCCAGTTGCCGCTAGCGCCGCCACCTGCCCTTTAGTTGTCTGTAGTTCGGCGCTCAGGTTATTGATGGCCTGTAGGAGATCATCTATGGTGATGGCGCCTTGGAGGTGCTGGAGTCGACATGAGAACGGTGATGAGAACGGCAACGAGATAAGGGAACTTGTCGGCAAAGGAACGAGAAACCCTAGGCGGCAACGTTGGGTTGTCCCTGGGAGTTCGTCCGTGGAGGAGAGAGAGATAAAATTAAACTAAACTAAACTTGTATTATTGCTTGATTGATAAAGTAAGGGGTCTTCTCTTTACATAGTGAGAGAGAAACCCTAATCCTAATCCTGTCGATTCAAGAAAAGCTTCAAGGGAAAGAACCGAAAAGAAAACCCTTGAAGGGACTTATAATTTGTCCACCTAACAAAATCTAAGTTACAAATATAAAAAGAACAAAATCAAATATTAGACGTAATCATCGTAACGTAGAGGACGTCGTTTATTCCGCTTCGGTCGTCCCGCTCCTTGGACGTCTTCTTGATCATCGTCATGCTCTGCATGGGCTTCTTGTGTAGGCCCAGTATCGTTGGGTTCGGTCTCCAATAACTCTTCGTGTGATGTTAGGCCCGTATCAGAGCCGAAGTTGTGAGAAGCGACGAAGACGTGGTCGGCACCGCCCCTGTGGTTCCAGAATAGATGCTCCGACGAAACCAGGCTCACGGCGGCGGACATCAGAGAGCGAGCGTGTCCAATCGCCCGGAACCCATTGACGGAGCTGAAATTGCAAGAAACATAGACGGGGACGAAGAAAAAGTCCGCCTCCCACGGGTCAAACGTCCGTACGTCGTCGCTGGTCTCCAAATCAAAGTGTGGGCCGAGCAATATTACGAAAATCTTTTAGACCTTAGTCCAGCCCAGCCCGTTTATGGAGCCAAACAATTGGAGCCCGAACCCGGCCTGTAAAGTACCCGCGGGCTTTGGATTGGCCCGGCCCGCATGCTTAATATTATTTACATAACTAAAAAATAATTTTTTAAATAAGGAATTATCATAATCTTTATCTTTATATATAAAATTTGAGAGTTGAGCTCCCTGAATCGCGACATGTGGCCAGTCCACTTGGTAAACTTTTAACATATCATCCGCCACCTATTAATGACTTAATGATATGGTAATTTTAAACAAAATATATAATATATGCCTTATATACGAGTGTCACTAAAGTTTTTTTTAGAATCTTTATCTTTATATATATAATTCGAAAGTTGGCTTCCAAAATTGTGACATGTGTCACGCTTATTGAACAATTTTTTTACATGTCAGCAGCCATGTTGGTCATCAAACATTGACCAGAACTTTTTTTATTGTGTTCTTTCTGATTTCCATCAATATTTCTATTTTTTTTCATGCAAAATTAGCTTCTCCCTGAACTTTTCTTATTGTATTCTTTTTGAATAAATGATAATCAAATACTATTTTCTTAAAAATGAAATAATAGAATTTGATATTTAAATATTTTTTTAAAAATTAAAAATGTATACTATGTATATTTAAAGGCAAAAAAAGTATAAATGGATAAATAATGCATTTGTATTATGTGTAATAAGTTAATTATTACTCTCTTTGTCCCTAAGTACTTGTCTATTTCTTACTTTTTTCAGTCAAAATTGGTAAATTTTAACCTCAAATTAAACAGCTGACCAATTTTTATTTAATTTGAGATTAAAATTTACCAATTTTAATCGAAAAAAGGCAAAAGTACACAAATATTCAGGAACGGAGGTAATAATTTTACTCCGTATATTCTTGGTCAAAACATTTAAAACGTATAAATGTTTAATATTTACGTGTTTAAAGAAAGTACTATGAATATTTAAATTTAAAAAAGTTATACACGGTCTGTTGAGCTTTTAGAATTACACTTTGTCCTTTACATTAGAGTGTGTTTATCTCTTAACAATAATTTGATATTTATTTCATCAATTCTAAGGGGGTGTATTCAATTTAGATTTTATAAGATTCTGATAGATTGTTTAGAATTTCTGGATTCTGTAAAATCAATGGATTATTTAAAGTTTACGCAGAGTTATATGGATTTTATAGTATTTCTTCATCAGGATTTTAGAGGATTTTAGTAGATTATTTATAATTCATGGATTATTTATATATACATTTGAATTATTTTAAAAATTCATACATTACTCTAACATTAATTATATTTACAAAATTGATCAAAAACTCAAAAAGTAATACTAAAATATAAATAAATTATTGAGTTGTAATGATCCTATTTGTTTTTGTTTCAATTTGTTGTAATGATTTTATTGAGTTGAAAGTGTTGAACAATTTTCTGGTATTCCCTTGCAAAGTGGTGTTTTTATAATGAAAGTGCTTAGCTTTGATGGGAGACGACCTATTGTTTACATTAATTTAATGATAAAGACACTCAACCATTAACATTAGGGTGTAAATCGATTTTCAAAGAATAGAAGTAAACTTTGGATTATTATACCCCGACACAGGCTGAATGGAACAGAGCAAGAAGATTTGCAGAAAAATCTGATATGCTGAAATGCAGTGTTTGATGAAGAAAATGAATACCCAGATGATCAACTCTGAAGTGCAGAGGCTGAGACAATCTTTAAACATGGTGTCCTTCCCAGATTGCAGTGGGGGCATTAGCTGCAACACAATAAACACATTGTTTTAAAAAGAAAATGACATATACTCCCTCCATGCCAAAATGATTTACACTTTTACTATTACGGTAATGCCGGTAACTTTTATTTGTTTGCATATTTTCACCGATCATTTGATAGAATAAAATATTTTTTGTCTATCTCGTGTTTTGTACTGTAGAACCTTTGATGTCAATTTTGAATATGTAAGTTTTATTTTATTTGTATGTTTTACAAATAAAACCATTTTAAAATTCACGAGATTTTGCACGTTGTACAAATAAGGAATATCATTTTGAGACGGAGCTAGTACATGTTTTTCACTTGGGCAAATGCATTAACTTACTGGGCATCTTCATATATAACCTGAGGTTTTTCTTGAGTGAGTGGTTGAGCCATCCCAATCCCAAGTGGGGAATGATGTTCTGGGCCTGCAAAGTTGGTAGTGCACACTATTATTGAAAGACAAAAACATGTGGAAGACAATTGAGTTACATATCATATTTTTTTGCAAGATGGAAACTTCCTGAATGGATTATATATCTATCTATATAAACACATTCAAGTAGCTAGCTGCTCATCCCACACAACAAAACTAAAGCTCTTTCTTCATAGAAAATAAACTTTTTGCTTTCACAAATTGTTTCTGTGTTATCTCATTCAAATTCATACTTCAAATAAAAATGGCAATCAGCATGGGGCACATTCTCCGTGGGAAACATGGCCTCAGAAGGTCTTCCTCAAGAACTAATAGAGATGGCGAGGTTCCCAAGGGTCACTTTGCAGTCTATGTAGGCATGGGTGAGAAGAAACGCTTCGTGCTTCCAATTTCATACCTAAAGAACCATTCATTCCAAGAGCTGTTATGTCAATCCGAAGAAGAATTTGGATTCGATCATCCAATGGGTGGGCTTACGATTCCTTGTCCGGAGGACTCCTTCCTGGACATCATCTCTAGAATGAGTAGCAGATATTGATACACTTTATACATCTTAGTTCAGTCATTAGAACAACCTTATAGAGAAACATATTTTTTTGTACAGTGTTCTGTTTTTTCCCCATCAGATTGGGAAATATATGGAGTATACTTTTTTTTAATCTTATCAATTCTTTAACTATTTACTGTATTACTCTTATCTTGAACCTCAACGAGTGGACTGAAATGAACTCTAATCATTCAAAATCTTTCAAATTACACTCCCTCCGTACAGACATAGTTGTCTACTCTCTAAGAACTCTCATATTTAAGAAATGAGTAAGAAATGCCTAATTAAGTCCTTCAAATGATTTTGTCACCTATTCAAGTCAGGAGTGCTCAAACCCTATTTGATGGATATTTCAGGCAATTCAAAGTAATTTATTTGTTAAATATGGAAAGTAGACAACTTGTTCAGAAGAAATGAAAACAAGAACTGAAGAAAATGGACAGCTAATTTCAAGATATTGTCTGCATGATTAAGAAAATTTTACCTCTTATAGCTTGAGGAACTACTCTTCAGCTTGTTTTTGTAGAATTGAAAAGAAAACTGATCTTCTGTCATTCCCGAAGGGGCAAAGGAAGTTGATAATTCCTCTTTTTTCTTCTTTAAGGATTACATGTGCATTTCCATAAATCCAATGGAAAGTTAGTCTCCTTTCTTCATTACTTTATTTGTGGCAGTACACAAATAAGAAGCATAGAGGCGAAAGTTGAAAAAAAAACCAAAGACCTCTTTCTTCCCCCAAATATGGGAGATCTCAAAAAGATAGAAGGGAAGGAACAATGTTAATGACCAGCAATGTGACAAAACCATCAGGGAACCCAAAAGGATGGGGTGCTGTCTCTTGCTAGTTCATTCCTGCCAGATTGGTAGCCATATCATTCTTCTTCTTCTTCTTCTTCTTCTTCTTCTTCTTCAAAAGAATTTCTTCTATCTTTTGAAATAATGAAAACCATAAACCTTATATAGCCATATCTTTCTTGTTCTTCTTCTTCTTCCGCAGACTTCCTTCTTCCATATCTATCCCACTTGCTCTCCTTATTTTCTTGGGTTTTTTTGTCGTACATGAAGATCTAAAAACAATGCTCCAAAATTCCAAAAATCTATTTGCTTCTTAGAAGAAATGCTCGACCACTTAAGAGATCTTGCTAGCAGTTGAAGCAATTTAGCGTGTCTGATCATTCAAGAGCAAGTAGTGGAAACACAAAGGGGAGAAGGTGCAAATAATAATCATTATGCAGAACATTGTGGTAACTTGTTCCGATTGGGATGGAAACCAGTAAGACCGAGGTATTTTGTTGCTACGCATTCGGTGAAAGCCGCTACACTTTGAATTCAACTTTTTCTATAGTGTTGTTTGTGATCCCGGAACTCCAAACATATCACAATATGCCGGCAGCAAAGCTTTGGGGTCACCAACCTGCATAGTGCCTCTATTGATTACAATATTTAACACCCAATGATTCTGCCAAGTAGCTCCATTTCTTTTATGGAATAATTGTTCACAATCATCCCAACTAGAAAAGAGAGTTTTAAGCAGAGCTAGCAGAAACACTCTCCACTCCAAAAGGTTGGCACCTCCTCTTCACAATATTCTACAACTTGATTACCTCCCATTCTAAAGAACCAAAATGCTTGCTTCCAGGAACTTTCAAACAAAGAAGTCATTCCTCATTTCAAACAAAGAAGTCATTCCTCATGCATGCTTTAAACTTTTCAATTCCGCAGCACTTCTTGGTTGGGTGAAGCTGGTGAGCAAAAATATAAAGTAGCTGCTACATGCAAATATAGAGGAAACCCTGCACCAAATTTCGTGGAATCAGATCCAAAAAATAGAATAGAAGCAAGCCATCTATTTAACATGTTTAGTAGGCTGGCATAAGCTTCATTTCTTGAGGAAGGCAAAACCATGTGCCAACTAGACATAAGGGGCCATTTAGCTATTCAATCAAGAAGACAGTTGATCAGAATCACATGGCTATGTTTCCCATTCAAGTAAATCAGCTTAGCTATTTTCTGGGCAAATACCATTAATCTTCTTGAATGGCATAAATGGTTTAGCTGTTCACGTCTATTCAATTTCATGTTCAGAGGCAGTAGAAACTATTGATGATTTCCCAAAGAACGTGTTAAACCAAACTACCACTCCTTATGCTGAACCTACCAAGTTGGCAATACACATTATTGGAAAACAAAACATGTGGTAATGAAAGAGTGGTTGAGCTATCTCAAGTTAATATCACTTATTCTACTTTCTAAAGATTTGTATACCTATATAAACACATCCCAGTTGGTATTCACCACCACAAAAACTCAAAGACTTTCTTCACAGTTCACACAAAACATTACTTAAGCATTCAAAAGCTGTTTCTTCATTTAATACATCCTCCACATCCTAAAGAAATATGGCAATCAGCATGGGGCGCATTCTCCGTGGGAAGCAAGGAGGCCTCAGAAGGTCTTCCTCAAGAACAAACAGAGAAAGTGAGGTTCCTAAGGGTCACTTTGCAGTGTATGTAGGAGAGGGCGAGAAGAAACGTTTTGTCCTTCCAATAGCATACTTGAAGGATCATTCATTCCAAGACCTGCTTTGCCAAGCAGAGGAAGAATTCGGATTTGATCATCCAATGGGTGGGCTTACGATTCCTTGTCCTGAGGACACCTTCCTGGACATCATCTCTAGCATGAGTAGTAGATCCTGATAGACCTCAGATATCTTAGTTCCTAGGCATCAAAACAATTTTGTAGAGAAGCTTATTCTTGTACAATGTTCTATTCTTTTTCCTGGTCAGATTGGGAAGTACATAAAAGAATTAATTTCTTTCATCAATTGTTCTGAATCTACTTAACCCATGTTACTCATTATCCCGAATGATTAAAGTAATAGGAAAGGAGGCCTAATAATTACAGATGTCTCCACACTCTTATGGAAATTGAGAGTTATAAGCCTTGTGTTAGTCTTGGATAAGGGTTTATATAAGCCTTACAGAGAAGCTTTGAGTAGTAAAGATTAAAATTACCATCCAATATACTCTGTATTTTCTACTGGTAAAACAAAACAACTTTCCTATAAATTTTCAAAATGAAAAAAGGGAAAGAAAAAAATGTTGGGGACCCTGGTGGTCAGTGATGGAGGGGTACTGTAATTTGTAAGGTTTGAACTTGCAGAGATGAAAAATAAGAGAGAATGATACTAAGAAAGACAAACCAGGGTAGCCCTATAGTGACATCTTAAAATCAAATATCAGGTCCTT